TTGTGGAAAAGCAGAATTTGAGTTGGGAATTTGTTTTTTCTAACACATAAGTATTTTCATTTACCCCTTGGAGTTTTTCTACAAGTGACAGGGAGGCTAAGCCATTTGTCCATAGCCACAAGGCATATTGAAGTTAGGACTCAAAATACTGTCATTTTAAATTTGAGGCACTTTTTTCTATATGTTACACTTCCCCAATTCCCAGGAAGCCCAGATTGAGATATAAATGGAAGTTGGGATAACGCCACCACCTTTCTTACCTACTAACAGCAGGGCAAGGATTACTATAGCAAGCCTAAGAAAAACAGATAACCAGGAACATAAAAGTCCTTTTTTTTTTTTAATTTTATGTATTTGGTACAGGGTCTCCCTAAGCAGCTTGGACTTGTAGTGCTCCTCTTGTTTTCAGCCTCCCCAGCACTGGGATTACAGACCTGTGCCACCACCCCCAGACTTAGTCAATGGCTCAGCACACCCCAGGGGTGGGGCTGGCACTGCATGTGTGACCGGGGATTGAACCCTGGTCCCTGAGCTTGCCAAAGCAGGCACTTAGTCTGCTGAGCTATCTCGCCAGCCCTCAGGCCCTTGTTTTTAATTTAATTTCATTATGAATTTTGAGATAGGATCCCACGGACTTGTAAGAAATAATAAAAGAGATTGTGTCTACCCTTTACCCTGTTTCCTCCAGTGCTAACATCTTACAAAATGATAGTATGATGTCAAGACGAGGATACTGACATTACAACATGGTCAAGGAGCAAAACATTCCATCCCTGAGAGGATCTCTCATGTTGCCTTTTTACAGTCACCCCCACTTCTTTTCCACTTCAACTCCTTTTTCAGACTCTGTAAGTCACAAATAACATCTTAATTTCTGCAATTTTGTCACTTCAAGAATGTTGAACAAATGCAATCATATAATATGCAACCTTTTGGGATTAAATTTTTCTACTCAGTATAATTCCCTGGAGATGCTTTTACATTGTTGCATGTATCAAAACTTCATCCTTTTTTATTACTGAATAGTATTCCATGGTAAGGGTGTATGAGCTTGCTTATTTATTTATTTATTTATTCATTTTGCAGAACTGGGGATTGAACTCAGGTCCTTGCACTTTGACAGGCAAGCATTTATTCAACCGAGCTATCTCCCTGGCTCCAGGTGTATGCGTTTGGTTAACCATTGATCTAATGAGGAACAATGGGTTGATTCTAGGTTTTGACCATTATGAATAAAGCTGCTGTGAACATTTGTTTACAAGGTTTTGTGTATACACGCATTTTTTCATATCACTAGAGTAGATGTCCAAGATGGTGATTACTGGGTCAAATGTTGGTCATAATGAATGGCCACATCATTTTCCAACATGGTCATATTTTATATCCCCACTAGCAACATATGTATGATCCACTTTCTTTGACTTCTTAATTATCACTATCTGTTTTCATTCATATCTTTTGATAGGTACCTCATAGGTTTAATTTTCTTTTCTTTTTCTTTCTTTCTTTTTTTTTTTGGAACTGGGGATTGAATTCAGGTTCTTGCACTTGCCAAACAAGCACTTGTTCTACTGAGCTATCTCCTTGGCCCAAATACTGTTTTTTTTTTTTTTTTTTTTTTTTTTTTTTTTTTTTTTTTTTTTTTTGCAGTACCGGGGATTGAACTCAGGACCCTGAGCTTGCCAGGGAAGTACTTATTCTACTGAGCTATCTCCCCAGCCCTTCATAGGTTTAACTTTCATTGCTCAAGGGGCTAATGATATTGAACATATTTTCACACACTCATGTGCTGTTTGCACATTCTCTTTGGTGAAATGTCTGTTCGTGGCATTGGACCATTTTCTAACTGGGCGGCACATTGGCCATCTTTTCATCACTGTAACAAATACTTAAGAGAATCAACTTATAAAGAGAAAAGGTTCATTTTGGCTCATAGGTCTTGCAGGTTTCAGTGCATGACCAGTTGCCTCAGTGCTGTGGTGACATCATGATGGGAGTGTATGGCAGAGTAAAACCTAGCCCTTCATGGCCAAGAGGCAGAAAACAGAAGAAAGCGTTGGAATCCCACTATGCCTTCAAGAGTACAGTGATCTAAAGAGTTCCCCACACCCCCTTTCCCAGTGTCCTACCACCTCTCAAGACCACTGTGCTGGAGATCAAGCCCTTATTACATAGACCGTTGGGGGACACTTAAAAAACCAAACAATAGCAGGTTGTTTTTCTTGTGCTAAATTTGAAAGGTCTTTATATATTCTAGATAGTAGTCTTTTATTGGATACACGGTATACAAACTTTTCCAGGCTGTAACTTGTCACTAAAGTCTCATAATGGGTTTGTTATAGAGCAAAAGTTTATATCTTGATGAAGTGTGATTTATCAATTTTTCCTGTTATGGATTACGTTGTTGGTAGCAAATCTAAGAAATCTTTATCTAGCCCTATATCCTGAAGAGGATTTTCTTATATGCATTTTGTTTCTAAAACTCTTCTAGTTTTACATTTAAATGTTACTTTGAGCTTCTTTCTTTCTTTCTTTCTTTCTTTCTTTCTTTCTTTCTTTCTTTCTTATAGTGTTTACTTGTTCTGGCATTATTTGTTGTAAAATTTATCTTATGTATTTATTTATTTATTTATTTATTTTTCAACAAATAATACACTGCATATTTTTTTTTTTTTTGGTTCCTCCAATGCCCTCAGGGCACTTTTGGCCAGCGGGAGAGGTGTGAGTTTCGAACTCCAGCAACCTGAGGCTGACAGCTTTGTGGAAGCAGCCGCTTAAAGGCCTGAGCTAGGGCCAGGCCCCCAACTGCATATATTTTTCTTAGTGGTTAATTGCTGTACAAGATGCGGACTTGTGATCCTATTTACAAACACCATTAGAACAAATCATTCTATTCATTAAGAGAATGCAACTATATATCTATCCCAACCACTTTGAATACACAGATACAAAATGGACATTCATCCGTATACCCCATTTTTTCTAAGTTCCGTTATTGAATATTATAGGTGTGTAAACTCAGCAAAATATTCTAAAAGAGTCCAGTAGCCCATTATAGCATTGGGTCTTCTGTTTAACTGGCAATGTCAGAAATTATTGACCTGAGTCCCCCACAGCTCAACTTAACAGCATGTCTTTATTTCTTATAATTTCGTCTTCATACTTTTCTGCTGGATGGTTAAGACCAAGGTAAAGCAGGACCTATGCAACAAGAGTTGTAGCTTATATTTATTTATTTATTTATTTATTTTTCAACAAATAATACACTGCATATATTCTTCTTAGTGGTTAATTGCTGTACAAGATGCGGACTTGTGATCCTATTTACAAACACCATTAGAACAAACCATTCTATTCATTAACAGAATGTAACTATATATCTATGTAAAATTTATCTTTTCCTGTATTGAATTGCTTTTGCATCTGTGTCAAAAATCAGAAAAACTAGGACTAGTGGGGCATGCTTGTGATCCCAGCATTTTGGAAGACTGAGGCAGAAGTATCATAAATTTGAGCTCAATCCAGGTAACTTACCAATTTAGCAAAATCCTTTCTTAAAAAAAAAAAAAGTAAAAGGGGCCAGGGATCTAGTTTAGTGCAAATGCCCTAGGTTTAATTCCTCATACCACAAAACAAACAAACTACAAAACAAAAATCCTACGCTTATTTGTGTTAAACTTGTGCTAAATTCTTTATTTTGTACATTTATCTATGAATGTGTTTATCATTCTCACAATAATACGCTGTCTGACTACTGTGGCAATGTAGAAAATCCTGCAGTCAGATAGACTGATTCCTCTCACTTTGTTCTTTTTCACAATTGGTTTCTTTATACTACCTTCCATACTACCTTCTTTGCCTTTCAAATAAATTTAGAATAAGCTTTCTGGGATCTTGCATTAAACCTATATACAATCTTGGAAGGAAGTGACATCTTTTCTATGTACAATCTTCCAAACTGTGATGTCTTTCCACTTATTTAGATCTTCAAGTGCTTTCATAAATGTATTGTAGTTTGCAGCAAGCAAGTTCTATACATGCACTGTTAGATTATACTTGTGTTTTCTTTTTCCTTTTTTTTTTTTGGTAGTACCAGAGATCGAACTCAGGACCTTGCACTTGCTAGGCAAGCATTTATTCCACTGAGCTATCTCCCCGGCCCCAAGTGTTTTCATTTTTGTAAAATTGTAAGTGGCATTGAATTTTTTGTTTTGTGTCCACATATGCATTGCTAATATAAAAAATAAAAAGGAATTTTCTGTATGCAGCTTTGTATCTTGGGACCTTGCTGAACTCACTTCTTAATTCTAGCTTCTTGCAGCTTACTTGGGTTTTTCTTTTTTATGCAAACAGTCATGCTTTCTGCAAATAAGGGCAGCTTTGCAAGTTTGGGCCACAATCCCAAAAGACAGAATTCCAAATACTGAAAATCCAAAAGGCTAAAATCTATGAAGTCTAAGATCCTCCAAGTCACACTCGTACAAGATTAAAATTCTTAGTGCTGAAATTGTGAAAGCTGAAATCTTCAGAACTGCAGCTGGAAAATAATTAGGAAACAAGAGCACACAAACATAAGTGTTGCTGTTCGCTCATCCATTTGCTTCCCCCAAATTTGTAGTCTGCATATGAGTGAATATGGAATAGATTTCTACATACCCAAAAACAACTCAGAAGCATGACAGAGAAGATGGGATAATTTAATGGAGAATTAAATTTCATGTAGGCATACACTGAATCAAAGGAAAGTTTCAAGAAGCACACTATTGCATAGCACATAAATATGAATATATTCTTCAAGGACAGCCATGCTCTAAGAGAAAAAAATCCATTCATCTTGATGCGAGACTTCAGCTCTTGGGAGGCTGTAAACAGGTGGATTACTATAAGTCTGATCTAGTAGTGGGACCCTGAACACCCTGTAGACCCCTCCCTAAAATACTATATATATATATATATATATATATATATATATATATATCCAATACTCAAAAAGGTCAGTGATACTTACCTGGCAGAGAAGACAGCACGACCCCGAAGGTGGTTTCCCAGGGTGAGGTTTGTCCATTTCCCTCCAGATGTGCTGACCCCTGCAATTTCCCCAAAAGTGTGAAACCTACCTGCATAATGTGTGCTAGTGGAGTACAGCATTCATGCTTGCCCCTGTTTTTAAAAAAGTTAACTGGCTGTTATAGACTGTCTCTGTGCAAATGGCCATACACAATGGATCTTTTTATACCTCAAATTTTCCTTTTAATTTTTGATATTTTTTAGTTTTTCTTTCTACTATTTTAAATTGCTACCGTTATTTTTTGCAATTCACTGTGCTATGTATTCCAGCTTTACATAATTTTTTAATAATAAAGACCAAATTATGTAGAATTTTTGGAGAGTTCTAATTAGTTTTATGCATATTTTTGCAAGCTTGACACTGCAGAAGTACATTATCACAAAGTTGACTTTGTGTGTATATAAAAATGTTAAGACTTCCTCAGGAAATGAAGTGATGTCTTCTTGTACACATGTATTTGTGAAAAATAAAGTGTCTCCAGATTTTAGCTCTTTGGGTAACTGAATGCATGGGAGTGACACACTGTGGTTTTTGATCCGTCTGTCAGAAGACTTCGATTGTCCATAACAATATTTGAGGGGCCGGGGAGATGGCTCAGTGGAATAAGCGCTTCCCTGGCAAGCGCAAGGGCCTGAGTTCAATCCCCAGTTCCACCAAAAAAAAAATAATAATAATATTTGAGATAAATGCAGTTATAAATCTGTGTACATGTATTTACCAAGTGCAGTCAGATACCTTCATTCATTTTGCTTTTTGACCTATTTCTTTATGAGTATGGTATCTCTGCTCATAATTGTTATATCTCATTGTTATTAATATATCTGAGATAGACACATACTTGCAAAAAATATATGCTGTTATTTCCTATTTTACATAAAGTGCCTTATGTTTTGTCACAGTTTTTTATGTGTCCCAAATAAATTTCCTGTATTTGTTAGGATTTTTTTAAATGTGTCTTTATTTATTTATTGTGTGTGTGTGTGTGTGTGTGTGTGTGTGTGTGTGTGGCCAGCTCAGCCCACCAGGGGGCTGGGCTGGCTGACATGTGGTGCTGGGGGATCGAACCGCGGTCCCTGTGCTTTGCCAAGCTTGTTCCAAGTAGGTGCTTTAGACCACTGAGCCATCTCACCAGCCCTATTTGTTAGGATTTACTAGAAGAACAGATTTATTTATTTATTTTTGTTGTTTTTTTTAGGGAAGGATCTACAAGGTATTCAGGATCTCACTACTAGATCGGACTCGTAGTGATCTGTTTATAGCCTCCTAAGAGCTGGGATTACAGGCCTGCGCCACCACACCGAGTCTCAATTGCCATCTCAATGAGTCCTGGGGGGGCAGGGCAGGCATCTCAGGCCTGGGGATAGAATCCCTGGCCCCTGTGCCTGCTTGCATGGGCTTTAATCTGCTGAACTATTTGGCTGGCCCTTAGAAGAACAGATCTAATATAAAAGCCTGGCTTTTAACTTGAAATCCTGCTTTCTCAACCGCTCAAGAGCTGTGTCACCATGTTGTGTGAAGTCCTCTTTTAAGAAGAGAAACAGGGGAGAAAAAAAGAGAGAGAGAGAGAAATAGGGTTTTGAAGGTAGTTCAGTGATCTAAGTGCCTGCTTGGCAGGTGGAAGGACCCGAGTTTGATCCCTGGTGCCACTATACCATGCTGGCCCCAGGCGCCAAACCGGCCACCAAAACCAGGCATGGTGGCTCACATCTGTAATCCCAGCGCTGAGGAGGCTGAGACAGGAGAATCACCACATGTCCGAGCTGTGTTGCAAGATCCTGTACCAAATAAATGCATAAATAAAAGATTAAAAGGAAGAAGATAAATAAATTCTTTTTTTTTTTTTGTGGAACCAGGGATTGAACTCAGGCCCTTGTGCTTGACAGGCAAGCGCTTATTCTACTGAGCCATCTCCCTGGCCCTTATTTTACTTTTTATGGAGGTTCCTTTGAGGAAAAATTGAGGCTCATTACAAATTAGCTCATTCAGCGTGAGGAGCTTCTTGGGGGTGACCACTGTTCCTTCATGCATTGGTCAGATGTCATTGTGTACCAGGCATCTTTTCAGGCACCATGGATATAGAACCTCTTCTCCCAAGGGACTTTCTAGGGGAGTTAGTTTGGAAATCTTACCCTTTTGTGCAATTACTGTTTACTATAGGTTTTGCTAATTAGGGTAATGTTGCAGGCCTTGGAATCAAAATTCTGAATGACGGTCTAGTCTAAGGGCTTTCAACAGGGGCTACATCTCAGATTTACCTAGGAAAGAGTTCTTGTTAAAAAGGCAGCTTCCTGGTCCTCATGCATGATCTACTAGAACCCGTTCTCTGGGCTTTCTTCCTGTCCTTCTGTCCTTGAGCTAACCAGGCACACTTGAGCAGCATCTCAGCACTTGCGCTTACTTCGCTGTAGCACTGCCCCGATGGCGTGCTTGTGTCCATTTGGGCCTCTTTTGAGTATCTCCTCCTCAGGGAAGCTGTCTGATCACACTTTCCCAAAGCACCACCCATCTCCCACCTATATTATATCTACTCTGTAGCCCTTACAGAATGCCTGCAATTAATACCTTCTTTCCTTTGTGCCTATCTTGCCCTGCTAAATTGTAAGCTTCATGTGGACAAGAGCTCTTCTTTCCTGCTAGATCCCTAGTGCCTACAATAGTGCCTGGAACATGTTAGGTATTCCCTGAATGTGAGTTGACTATTTACTTGAGTAGGATGATCTTAGGACTCTTCTTGTTAAGCAAACACTCAAATGATTCTACTGCTCACTGAAATTTAGTAACCAACAATCAAGAGACAGAGATAGAAAAGTGGGAGCCCATGATGAATACGGAGTTACCTGTTTTATTTTTTACTTTTTATTTTTGTATTTTTAAAGGAAGGGTCTACAGGGTGTTCACTACTAGATCAGACAAAACAGGCCTCCCAAGAGCTGGGATTACAGGCGCATGCTGCCATGCCCTGTATCAGTTGTCGCTCTCTCAGAGAGCCCTGGGAGGAGGGCTGGTACTGCAGACTCAGGGATCAAACTCCCGGCCTCTGTGCCTGCTTGCAGGCACTTTAATCCGCTGAGCTATTTGGCCGGCCCTGTCATAACCTGTTTTAAATTTTTACCTCTACCTCATGATTCAGTGCCATTTCCTATAAAGAGCTAGGGGAATTGGCAAGAAAATTCCCAGCTATTTAAAGTTATTGGTCAAGAAAGCTCTATTTTGGCAGGCCAAATAGCTCAGCAGCCAGGGTTTAATCCCTGGACCTGCTGCACTCGCCCCGCCCCTGGGTCGCGCTGAGACAGCAATTGAGACTGGGCGTAGTGGTACATGCCTGTAATCCCAGCTCTTGGGAAGGTGTAAACAGACGGATCACTACTGAGTCTGATCTAGTAGTGAGACCCTGAATGCCCTGTACACCCTTCCCTAAAATAAAAAAAGAAGAAAAAAAGTTGTATTTAAAGTATGTTAAGGCCCACTTCCAAAACAATTGAAACACTTTATGTTTTCAACTGAGAGTTTGTAATAACATGTCCATGTTTTTTCCAAGCATTTCTTTTTTTAAATTAAAAAATTTATTTTTTATTACTTAATGTTTACATTATATAACGATTGCATTTATCTTGGGGAGTCAGTGCATATACATAACATCTATGCCCCTCAATCTCTTGGTCCCTTTCAATGTGCAGAAGGCGTACCTCC